TCACATAAGATAAAATCATACTTTTAAGTTCCCAAACGTTTCGGTTTAGGCCCTTCTAAAACGTACTTCCGGAGCCGGGGGTCCTCGAACACCCCCCCCCCCAGGTGTATTTTGGAAAAAGGTTTTTGTATGACGTTTCTGAAACTCGAGATTTGTATAGTTTGGAGGTCGGTGATCAAATTCGGCGTCTTGTGTCGAGACCATAGGGGCCGTTTTTCTCCGTCTTTTGGGGCTTCGAAAGTTCAAAATTTGGGTTTTTCGGAGTTTTCGTTACTGACACTTAGATTTTGGGCGTTCCGAGACGTTTTTGTAGTCGGGCTTTATAGAGCACTTTAGGCCTGAACGATTGGCACCGATATCGAGGTGATCCGACTTTTAGTTCGGGAGTTATGATTTTTAAAGTGTTTTTTGTACTTAGAAAATTACGTATTTACGTGTTTTTTTAGATTTTTTTTTCGTTTGATCACTACAAAATTCTAGAATCTGATCATTCGGCGTACGAGGATTCAAAAAACCTCTATGGTCAAAATACGTACGACCATTATTTCGCCCGCAATCGTAGTAGCAAAAAGTTAGAAAACAAATTATGCTCTTTTTCGTATTATCAAGGCGTCTCCTTGTGGTATACGTCTGTGTAACGTATCAAGTAATAATTATTTTGAACTTTTTTTCACACTTATTTTAGTAGGCGTGTAGCTCATTATTCATTAATGTAAATCGATAGGTATATAAGAATAAAATATTAAAACCTATAAAATAATATGTCAATTCACTCTAATATATGTATTTGAGCTATCAACACAAAATTGGATATATATTTTGAAGTACTAGCTCCTTCAATATAAGTCGTATCGTTATGAAACCTTCAAGGAACGAAGCAGTCAACCCTCGAGATCAAATGCATGGTCTCAAAAAAGCCGCGACTCGATTTTAAGTTCGAGAAATTGGCAAAAGAAAATTTCCCGCCAATTTTTTTTTTTTTTGAATAATTTAAATTTTTACCTCAACATTTACCCCCTTAATATTTGAGTTAATGAACTTTTAAAAACTCGCAAATGATCTAGGGACGCTTCTGCTTCGATCTATGAAGGTTTCATAACGATACGACTTATATTGAAGGATTTAGGTTATCGAAATATTACGAATTTGAAAAACCTACCCAAAAAATTAAATCCTTCAATATAAGTCGTATCGTTATGAAACCTTCAAGGATCGAAGCAGAAGCGTCCCTAGATCATTTGCGAGTTTTTAAAAGTTCATTAACTCAAATAGCAACTCAAGCTAAGTTACACATAACATAATTAATATTATTCTCATAAAATGTTATAATGAATTATGCTCTACTCACTACAACAGTAACATTTTTAAAATTAGAAATAAATTTAAACCAATTTATAATGAATAAGTTCATATTAATTAATATCAAAAAATAAAAATATTATAAATATTTTACTTTAGTTGACCTGTACAGATACGTCAAGTAAAAATGGAGATGAAGAATATCTAGGAGATCAAAATTTGGAGAGAGTTAATGGAACTTCTCCTTTGGTAATACTTTTAAATATTTAATTATTTATATATTGGCATTACTTATTACTGTACCTATATATTTAGTGTTAAGTGTTAACTATGTAATTATTAGTAAATTTAAATTGTATTATTAACGTTTAATGTGGTTTTAGATTACAGCATGGCCTTCAGAATGGACTTTTGAACAATGGCAAGCAAAAAATAATGCTTATCTGTGGTTGATTTGTGCCAATGGTAAAATTGGATGTTCAGTTTGTCAAGAAATCGGTAATATTTATAATTTTAAGAATAGTTTTGTTGAAATATCACCAGAGTAGGCTCAGTGTAGTGTTAGTAGAGGAACCAGTTGCGATAAAAAAACAAGGCTTACTGTTTTTCGCAATAAAATAAAAAAACACAGAACTTCATTAGCTCATAAATCCGCTACTAATATTATGCACGAAAAGAACTCTGACAATCTAACAAAACAATTTGAGAATATTTTTCTCAAAATAAATAAATCTACAGTTACAATTTTCCGTACAGCATATTATATTTCTAAAAACAATAGGCCTTTTAGTGATCATTCAAAGCTTCTTGAATTACAAAATATAAATGGTATCAACACTGGAATAACTCTCCAATCACGGTTTCCATGTACTCAGATTATAGGTCATATATCAATGAAAATGAAAGAAGAAATTGTGAGTAATATTGTTAAATCTGGTTCAAAAATATCTATTTTAGTTGATGAGTCCACAACATTAAGCACTTTATCTACAATGGTAGTATACATTAAAACATCAATATCATCAGAAGACCCGATTTCAATTTGTTTGGACCTTGTTGAGCTTCATCTACAAACAGCAGACAATATTGTTAATCAGCTTATTGATTGCCTGCATAAATCTGGATTTGATGATAACTTTTTAAAAAATAATTGGATTTATTTTGTTAGTGATGGTGCAAGTGTTGTTGTTGGTAAACAAAAAGGAGTTGCCAAACAACTGAAAAATAAATATCCTTTGATTTTCAGCTGGCATTGTTTGAACCACAGAATTGAATTAGCAGTAAATGACACTAAGAAGGACTTGAATGCTATAAACCATTTTAAATCATTTATTGATTCATTATATGTTTTGTACAACAATTCGCCAAAAAAACAAAAATGAAATTAAAGAAATTTGCAGTGAGTTGGATATTATTTTTTTAAAAATTGGAAGGGTTCTTGACACAAGATGGGTTGCCAGTAGCTGGAGAGCTGTTCAGGCAGTGTGGAGAACATTCCCTGCTTTATGCAAACATTTTTTATCTTCATCAACTGATACAACAAGAGACTCAAAGTCTAGATCGAAATATTTGGGTTTAAATAAAAAATTATGTAGTCCAGAATTTTTACTAGATTTATCATTAATGTGTGATGTACTTTTTGAACTATCTACCTTATCATTACATCTTCAAAAACAAACAATAACACTTCTAGAAGCTGACAGTAGTATTAAAAGAACAATACGAGTTATAGAATCTTTTAAAAATAATAGTGGTGATCACATGAGAACAGCTGACATTGCAAAAAGGGATATGACTTTCAAAAATATAAAGTTATCTCATTTCTCAAAAATAGTACCAATTAATAAAAACCAATTTATTACTAGTATATGCAATAATTTAAAAAAAAACGATTATTAGAAAACGAAGATGACTTTAATTGATTCAAGATATTTCAATAATTGACAAAACCACTTGGCCTTCAAATGTAGATATAAGGTATGGCGAAAAAGAAATTAAACGTTTATGTCAACGTTTCATGTTGAACAAAGACAATGCAATTAATGGTTTTAGGGTATACTTAGATAGTAATGGTCTTCAAAATACTATTCTGGAACTGTTAAATTGCATTAAAACATTTCCCTGTTCTACTGCAGATTGTGAAAGAGGTTTTAGTCTTTAAAATCTAATGTGGTTAATTATAATGTATAATATTATATATTAATTTATAATGTGGTCAAAAGTGAAAATGTCCTAGTAGTTTTCACAAGCGCAGGGAAAAACAACATAAAAATTAAGGGAAACGGGAATTTTTACTCAAAATCGGTTTTCCAAAAAATCGATTTTGATTTTTGGTTTAACTCTAAAACAAATGAACGTATATACATGAAATTTTCACTTGTTGTTTATATTTGCATTTTCTATACACGATAACATTTTCAAAATATTTTGATTTATTTTGAACTGTTTAGGGACATATTCATTTTCCATTTGTTTTTAGTTTTTTTTCTAAAAATATCAATAACATTTTATTTATTGGTTGCGAAAGCTTGAAAATTTAATAGAAGGCTCCTAGTATATTGTTTCAAAGGCAGATGAATACTATTAAAATCCTTAGTCACAGTTTTTTTTTATAAGCATTTAAAGTTCAAAAATTGACAAAATATGGACAAATCACGAAAATTAGCAAATTATTTTGAGTTAAGAATTCGTAAAAATTTTTCTTTTTAAATCTAAGATTTGAAAATGTAATACAAAATTACTCATAAGTTTGTCTACCTTTATCAAAAAAAAAATCTCTACCGGACAGTCAAATTAAATTTTTATGAGCATTTGAAATTCAAATTTTTACAACATTTGATATTCACTCGATTTCTCATGTAACGATTTTCTGTTTTTGTTGTAATTAAAAAACGAATGGCTATAGATACTTGAAAATTTCACTGAATGTTGATATTAGCATTTCCTAAGCACGATAAAATTTTGAAAATAATTTAACTCTTTTTGAGATGTTTACGGACATTGTCAAATTTCAATTTTCTTAGTTTTTTTTTCTATAAATACCAATAAAATTTTATTTGTTTGGCGAAAAAGCTTGAAAATTTAATACAAGGCTACTGATATATTTTTACAATAGCAATTGTAAAATATTTAAAATACATAGGCACAATTTTTTTTTATAAGCATTTAAAATTCGAATTTTGACAAAATTTATCAAAATCTCGAAAATTATTAATCACTGTAATTAAAAAATTATAAAATGTTCAGTTTTTATAACTAAGGATTGAAAATTTAAAACAAGGTTTTTTGTAAATTGTTCTAAATGCTGTTTAAAATATATTTAAGTTAAGTATGCGCACTTTTTTATAAAAGCATTTAAAGTTGAAATTTGGACGTAAAAATATCAATTATAATATATAATATAATACTTTTTATTCAAAAATTGTGATAATCGAGATAACCCTGATGATTTTTCCAAGTAGTCTAGAAAATATTTCAGTTGTCTACATAACTCAGAAGTACCATTTTGTCGTAATTTAAAAATATTATTTGTGGCCCGTGGGTACTTGAAACTTTTAAACTGTATTATTATACTGTATACATACAATCATTTGGAACATTTTGAATTAATTTATTATATATTTTGTGGTGAATAATTTCTTATTATATTGGAAATAATATTTATTTTTTTTTGATTTGGAAGTATTCCCTTTCAACCACATATGCACGGAAAAGTTACTTGTTTGGATTCTAAAGAAGATGAAATATTAGCTTTACCACTTGACGATATATCTCAATCTTCCGATTTAAATATTTCAACCTCTCCTTTAAAAGAAAATTTAAATACAGATGCAGATATACTCGGAAGAAGAATTGTCAACATTTCGCATTTATTTAATGCAATTAAACTGATCGATAATCATGAATCTTTCGACTGTAGTTTTAAAGATATGCGAATTATTAAAGAAATTAAATATGGTTTTAAATCCACTTTTGTATTTAAATGTAATATGTGTAACACTATAAGCAAAATATTAACGGAAGATGAAAATTTGATGTCAATAAATACAGCAGCCGTAGCTGGAATCATAAACATTGGTTGCGGTTTTAGTCATTTTCAAGACATTACATGTGCGTTAGAAGTACCGACTATAAACTATGGAACATATAATACAGAACACAAAACCGTATGTCAAGGTTATGAATTAGCAGCAATAAAAGCTATGGACGATGCTGCTAAGATTGAGGCTGAATTGGCAATACAAGCTGGAGACATCGATACAAATGGAACCCCATTAGTAGCAGTTGTAGCAGATGGAAGTTGGTGTAAGAGGTCTTACAAAACAATGTATAATTCTCCATCAGGAATGATAAGATATTCATTATTGTCATATAAATTCGATAGTATCTTTAATTTTGTTTAGATATAGTTGTCTTTTAGAAAATTATATTTACATGTTCCCGAGCAGCAAGAAAACTTTAACCCATCAAAAAATATTATATTTCCCAAACAAAAATGCAAATACCTAATAAATCTTTGGAACGCAATTAGGTTATAAAAAAAGATTTAAAAAAAAGGTTAGAATTTCTTCGTACAATCTAGATTCTAGAATCTATATGTCGATTGGTTTTACCGGCTTAGTTACAAAGAAACTCATAAAATCTGACGTACCTACGTACCATATACCCAAAAAGGGAGGGGGATTTAGCTTTTGATACCTACCCAAGCATAATTCAATTTAAGAAATATTTTTCAATGTTATCCAATTATGATTTTTCCCTACAATTTAACGTCTATAAAAAAAATAATACGAAATATGCACTTTTCCTAAAATAAGGCGAAATATGCAAAAACATGCAAATGCAAAAAGTCCCGAATTTTAAATAAATCATAGATAGTTAGTTTAGTAATAAGTTAAGACTTAGGTACATTTATATTATAATTTGTTTTTAGTAGAGATGTTTTTTCAGGCTGCGCTGGTTGGTTATCGCACAAAAAAAGTATTATATTTTGGAGTAAAAAATAAGTTTTGTTCAGTGTATGCGAGAGTCAAACCTAATGAAACACCTAAAAAACACGATAGTTTTAAAAATTGGAAGTCATCAGATGGGTCAGCTGGTATGGAAGCTTCAATAGTGGTGGAAGGTTTTAAACAGAGTGAATCGACATATGGCATTAGATACCATAAACTAATAGCCGATGGCGATAGTAGTGTGTATAAGCAAATATTAGATGAGCGAACTTATAAACACTTGACGGTTGAAAAAGTGGAGTGCAGAAACCATTTGCTTAGAAACTTATGTAGAAAACTAAGAGACATGACTACTCAGAAGCATTCTGGAAAATTAGAACACAGACAATTACTAGGGAAAAATATTCTAAGAATTAGAAAAGGTATTGTTAAGGCAGTTAAATATCGTAAAAGTAATAACCATTCACCAAGAAGTTTACAAAATGATATTATAAATTCTGTAAATCATGTCTTTGGAGAACATAGTAAATGTGATTCCTATTTTTGTAGTAAACCTAAAGAATTCAACTATATTGAAAAAATGAAAGCTATAGATTTTGACTTTTATTCTAATGTGTTGAAACATTTACGATTTTTAGCTAGGCACAGTACCAGTTTACTTCAAAATGTTGACAGTAATGTCGTAGAATCACTGAATGGAATCATCGCTAAGTTAATTGGTGGTAAGAGAATACATTTTGCAAAATCCCGTTCCTATCAAGGCCGTTGTGCTGCTGCAACAGTTATTAAAAATACAAAACGTCCCATGTATACCTTGTATAAAACACTATTACATCGAAGTCCTGCTGTGAAGTGTCCATCAACTCGACTTGAAGAACAAAGATATAAAAAACGTGTGCGTCAAAACGAGCTTAGAGTTAATACATATAGAAAACGGATAAAATTTACAAAAGAAAATAATGACGAAAAATCTTATGGACACTTTTCTCAAAAACCGGATATGTCGGAGGAAGATTTTAATAATGAAAAGAAAGAATTTTAAAATACCTAGAAGAAATAGCTGCTAATCGAGATGAAATAGAAAGAGAAACAGTTGAACAAAGTCAATCTAGAAAATATTTAGAACTGAGAAGATATTTATTAACAGCATCCAACTTTGGACAAGTAATATCATCTAGGCCGGATACAGGCTGTGAAGGAATTTTAAAAAGCATGTTGTATTCACCAGATCTTGACCCTAGAGCGATGGAATACGGACGAGAACACGAACAGGACGCGAAAAAAGATTTAGAATTAGCATTAGGTATTGAAATAAAGGAGTGTGGTTTATACATTGATTCCAATAATGTATTCCTGGGAGCAACCCCTGATGGATTAATTGGACATGATACTTTGGTAGAAGTTAAATGTCCCTTTTCGGCAGCTGATATGGACCCAGAAGAAGCAATATTGAATAAAAAAATTACATTTTGGAAAATAAACAAAAAAAAAGAAATAACTGGGATTAATACAAATCATAAATATTACTATCAAGTACAAGGACAGCTGCAAATAACTGGAAGGAAATATGGAATTATTGTGTTTTGGACTAAAAAAGGCATACGATTTGAAAAAATTGAAAGGGACGACAATTTGTGGAATACAAAAATATTTCCCAAATTAAAACAATTTTATTTCAATTGTTTGTTACCAGAGTTAGTTGATCCTAGGCATCCTAGATCTATGCCAATTCGTAATCCTGATTACATTATAAAAGCAAAACAAATAAAAATGAATAAAAAATAGTTGCTAATTTAATTATTTTTACTTTAAATTAAATCCGATTTTAAGTTAACTAGAATATTATAATATATACCAATACCAGTTGTGTTAGGTTGGTATATTTATGTATATTTATATTTTATACTATGTGTAGGTATTATTAGTTTTAGAATTACTTAAAATATATTGAAAAATAATTGCATCAAGTACCTTCACATATTTTATTATATAGTCTTTTTTTTAATATGAAGTACCTATATCATATTATGTTACATAATCATATATTATTTTATAAGTATTTATGGTATTTATGTGATCGACATGGTAAAGTTTTGAAACAAACATTATACTTATTTTAGATTTATATGACTTGTGTTTTTTTTATAACATAATTATATAATGTACCAAACTGCGCGGCGTGGTAAATTACACATAACAACGATAACCAATTGGTCACAATAGTATCAACAAGTTAAAAAAGCTGGTAGGTAAGTGGATGTTGCTCTACTGGACCATAGGTTACTAAATAGGGGGTAATCTCAACAATTGATGAAATTTTCAAACGTCTGTGATTATTTCTTTTTAAATTACATCGAAATAAGAAATTCATGCCTGGAAAAAACGAGGGAACATTTAATGTTTAATTTCAAACGCTTATAAAATTTAGTTTGACTTTCCGGTAAGCTTTTTTTTATTGAAAAAGGTAGAAAAACTTATGGAGAATCTCTTGTTAAATTTTCAAATCTTAGATACTAACCAAGAATTTTTTATGAATTTCTAGATAAAAAATAACTGCGAAATTTCGTGATTTGTATGTATTTTTTCAAATTTCAAACTTTATACACTTATATAAAAACAATCAAATATTTACGCTCAACTTTTTTTTCAATTTTCACTTAAAACAAGTTATGAAGAATCTTGTATTAAATTTTTAAGTTTTTTGACTGAGCGAAAAAAATTTTATCGACGTTAGCAAAAAAAAAATTAAAAACTATCATCGCTTTGCTCGGAATCTAATACATAAACATAAAGTCATTCAAATATTGGGCTTACAGTTTACATGCACCTGTTAATTAATAAACTATAATTTTAATAATAAGTATAGACCTATTAACTTCATAGGTATAGTTGGGAAAAGGCGAAGAAATAATTGGTAGGTTGACTAGTGATTTATTAAAAATAAATTATCGTTTCATAATATTATAATGGGTATTTGTAACAATAATATAATTTGTATGATAGTACGATAGCTTCCATATTGTTGAGCGTAATTAATATCGTAATATTATTTACGTGGTATACATCATAAATTGAAAACGCAAGTATGCAGTATTATAAACTAGTACGGTCAAACATATTGTGTAGAATACGTGTAATGACTGTAATGTAAAAGTAATATAACCGACAATACGGTTGCCGATTGTAGAATGACGCGCCGCTCCAGTAGGCAGTAATTATTAGGAACTGCTTGCCAACCGCGACAGTGCCAGCGATTTCGTTTTAAGAGTGGGGGGCCGTCGAACAGCAAACAACGCCATCTCTGGAGCGTTATTTTCTTTTAAACGTCGATGTTGAATCCCCTTAATAAGTGAATTTGTAATTAAACGAAATGTATCAATTAATACATATTGTTCAGATTTTATAAACTATATCATCATTACAATGTACGGTATTGATTCAATTAATTAATTTTTTTATTATTTTTATTATTTATTTATTTATTTACAAACGGACAGTGAATAAGTACAATAAAGCGATAGAAACATTTGTTTGACACCTTCTTTAAGCAATTGCTTGTGTCGAAGGTGATGAGTTCATAATATCTTAATATCTAAAGTTTACACCGATCAGTTATAATATTAAATTATTATTAAAAGGAGAAAGAGAAAAAAAAAAAACAAAACAAAACGTAAATTTAGAAATCGAATTAAATCCTTAAAGAAAACTTATTTGACTCATTATATAAGATTTAAAATGCTTAAAATTACTGAAATTATTAACATTAATTGACATTCTATTATATAGTGTAAGTGCTCGATTTAGGCAACTTTTATATCCAAATTGTTTGTTACATTTATATTTTTCCTAAATCTCGTATTGTAATCATGATTACAAGGAGGTAGGTACATTTTATGTTTAAAACTTAATAGCAAGGTACATTTAATAAGAAGTTTATCGATGTCTAAGACATTAAGTTCTTTATAAATAAATGTAGTACAAGTAAGCATAGAAAGTTTTAAAATATATTTAATAATCTTATTCATAGTCGATTTTAATTTGATCAAATGAATTTCATAAGCACCACCCCATATCTCGATACCAAATGCAATAATTGATTGAACTAGGGAAATATATATAATTCTAAGTTGATGTTTATCAAGTATGAACCTAAGATCTCTAAAAACATAAAAGAATTTACGAATTAAGTTTGTAATATAGTTTATATGTATGTTCCATTTTAGTTGAGAATCAATAACGTGTGTGAAGTTGGGGGACTATAGCTAGGGGACTATTTTCTCGGACGATTAGTGATAACAGGTCTTGTGTGCAAGGTTGCGTTTTATTATATTAAAGGCACTCACCAAATGTACTACCATCAACCACAAGATGGCGCCATGAAATTCATTATTTAGTATTGTAAATAGTAATATAGTAATAAGCCACCGACCAGCTCAGGGGACTATTTTTTCGTTCTGCCTAGGTACGATCGGGCGTGCCGTTTTTAATTTTTTTGACCAAGTTCCAGGGTGGCGCCGCATTAAACCTATATATTCAGAAAGCCAGGAAAATTCTCCATAAGAAGTCATATAATTATGTTTATTAAAAAAAGTAACATAGGTACTAACATATACAACTGTTATTATAGGGGGATTTGGGGGAAAGAATTATAGAATAAAAAAAAAAACTAAAAATTAAAGAAATATATGAAAAAAAAGATGCTCTGCTGTACAGTAGGTTACAAGTAGGTCACTGTATAATGGATGGTATTAATTTTGAATTCAATGTTATAATATCATTGTATATGAATAACGATTCTGAGTGAACACGGTATGTCAGTCTATGTATAAGACATATTATATACTTATCTATGGTATTTAAAAAAATTGACCTTTAATAAATTCCAAATTAATCATATCACAATATCCATTATAGTCGGGGCCAAACGAATGTGCGGTTGGTGGCTCCGCCCACTAGGCGATATCACACTGAATAGTGAGTAACAGCTGCTGGCGGTATATTTGAAAATAAAGTAACCGCACTATTCATGTGTGAACGTTACCTAAAACTATGAGTTCTAATTAGTCGCCGGCAAAAGTAGGCGGAGCCACCAACCGCACATTCGTTTGGCCCCGACTCTAGGTACTTATAACACGCGTTATACATCAACAACAAACCCTGATACTATCATAGATATATAATAGTACACTTTAGAAGTTTCAAGTAGGTACCCACAAATAATATTATATAATCACAACAAAATAACTAGGTTTTTTAATATGTAATTTCGTCCAAATTTGAACATAAAATGACTATAAAAATAAACTGTGATTGTATATTTTTTAGATTTTTCGGTAAGAGAATTAACTACTTAAGTGGAATCTTGTTTTAAATTTTCAATCATTATATTACTATGTCCTCGAAAGCTTTGAACATTTTTAAAGTATAAACGTATTATAGAGAATTTTCCTAGCTTTCTGAATATATAGGTTTAATGCAGCGCCACCTTCTGGAACTTGGTCAAAAAAATAAAAAACGGCACGCCCGATCGTACCTAGGCAGTACGAAAAAATAGTCCCCTGGGCTGGTCGGTCACGAAAAAGTAGTCCCCTGGGCTGTTCGGTCGCATATTTCTATGTCCCCGAAAGCTTTGAACATTTTTAAAGTATAAACGTCTTATAGAGAATTTTCCTGGCTTTCTGAATATATAGGTTTAATGCGGCGCCACCTTCCGGAACTTGGTCAAAAAAATTAAAATCGGCACACCCACCCGTACCTATTCAGTACGAAAAAATAGTCCCCTGAGCTGTTCGGTCGCATATTTCTATGTCCCCGAAAGCTTTGAACATTTTTAAAGTATAAACGTCTTATAGAGAATTTTCCTGGCTTTCTGAATATATAGGTTTAATGCGGCGCCACCTTCCGGAACTTGGTCAAAAAAATTAAAAACGGCACACCCGCCCGTACCTAGGCAGTAAGAAAAAATAGTCCCCTGGGCTAGTCGGTGGCTTATTACTATGTAATATATTACTATATTACTATATACAATACTAAATAATGAATTTCATGGCGCCATCTTGTGGTTGATGGTAGTACATTTGGCGAGTGCCTTTAATATAATAAAACGCAACCTTGCACACAAGACCTGTTATCACTAATCGTCCGAGAAAATAGTCCCCTAGCTATAGTCCCCCAACTTCACACCCGTTTTGGGTTAGAGGTATTTTGTATGTTTAAATTCCATTGAATGTCATGATTAACATTCTGAATATTAAAAATAATATGTTTAGTCTTATTTAAATTTAGATCTAGAAAATTATTGTTGAACCATGATTTTACTATTTTAAATATATTATTAGCTTTATAGTATAATTTTTCAATATTTTTTTCTTGAATAAGAATGATAGTATCATCTGCAAAACAAATTGTTTTTGAATCAATATTAATATTAAGCAAACCATTAACATATACAATAAAAAAGATAGGTCCCAAAACGGTTCCTTGAGGAACACCATGATTTATTTTTAAAGGTGAACTATATGAATCATTAATTTTGACTATTTGTATCCTATCAGCGAGGTAAGATCTAATAAAATCATTTTCTTTTCCGCGTATACCTGCATAATTTATTTTTTTTAGTAGTAACTCATGGTTAGTACTGTCAAACGCTTTTTTAACGTCAAGAAAAATGCCCATAACTTTATTACCAATATCAAGATTCTCGTGAATGAATTTATTTACAAAAAAATGTGCATCGTTAATAGATCTACCTGGAATAAAACCAAATTGATTCATAGAGAAAAAAG